TATCTAAGATAGCTACTAGGGGTACGGCTCTTACTGCGTACTTCGCTTATGTAGAATCCGTTCTTAGATACGGGCTTATCATATGGGGTAACAGTACAGATATTAAAAATGCATTTGTTGCTCAAAAAAAATGTATTAGGGCGATTTGTGGTGCTGTACCTGATGAACCCTGCAAACCTCTCTTTAAATCTTTAAAAGTTTTAACCTTACCTTGTTTATACAATTTGAAGTCACTAAATTCGTAAAACAAAATATGTGTCACTTTAAACATGCAAAAAATGTATATATACGCAGTACCAGAAATTGTGATAGATTGGTTACTGATATCATTCCAAGGAGCGCGAGATTCCAGAATAACTGTTATTGGATGTGTATTGTGCTTTTTAATAATATCCCCCTTAGCATTAAGAATCTTCCATTTAATAGCTTTAAAAAGGCACTATTTATTTGGTTGTGTGATAATGCTTTTTATAGTGTTAGGGAATATTTAAATCATAAAAATAAGTAACGAATGCATATGTTGAGAATTGTGTAATGTCTTTAAATGTGTGTTATTTTTTTGTTTGTTATTATTTTGTTTTTTTCTTCAATTGGACATTATCTACTTTTATATTGATACTGATTTTATAATTTAATTTTTTTGACATTCTTCAAGTGGGAATAATTATTGTACTCTATAATAGTTATATGTAACAATGATATTTCTAATTTAATAATTTTGACATACATATATCATATATATTTGCATGCTATAGCTGATGGCTAAATTGGCTGAACTCAAATTTTAATTCAATCAAGAATGTACCTCATTTAAAAGCAAATAAATAATTATTATTATTATTGCTGTTAATAAAATTAAATCCTTAAAAAATGTTGAAATAGCAAGATCGGTATTTTTTGTTATTTTCATAGTCTAATAATGTATGGCCTATTGTTGTGGGGTTCTGCGGCTGCGGAATATATCTGCGGCTGCGGAATACATAATAAATCTGCGGCAAGCATTCAATTTAATTTTATTCTACAAAAGAGAGCTGTCCACGCTATATATAATTTCATCATCATCAGCCCTTTTCCGTCCCCACTGCAGAGGCTCAGGCCTTCCTTGTGGATGGTTAAGGAGGATGGGCCATGACCCTCCACGCTGGCCCAATGCGGATTGGAGGGTATTAACGACTGCAAATGCACCCGGACCAACGGCTTAACGTGCCTTCCGAAGCACGGAGTAGCCCGAGATAATAATTTTTTGGTCACCCATCCCGTGACCGACCCTTGCGAAAGTTGCTTAACGATAACGATCGGGGGCTGCGGCGCTTATCCACTACGCCACGAGCTACGAGGTGAGTATATATAATTTACGGTCTAGGAAATTTACGGTCTCAATACATCTATGAAAATATTATGTACGCAAGAAAACATTACCAAGCTTCAGACTTCAAAAAACCCGAGGATCTTTCTGGGTAAATGGATTGCTATGATCAATAAAGTTCCACAAAATGTAATTGACCTACCCGTAAATAAATTTAAAATTCATGTAAAGAACATTCTAATAAGTAAATAAATCTAATAAATAAAGTTGATGATTATTTTGAAGACCACAATGCGTGGAATTAATAACCATAGCGAAGGTTATTTCTATAACGAGTAATTATAAGTACCAACCTATGTCCTACAGACTTTGAAAATTGTATTGTAATTTTAAAATTGTAATTTATTATTATGATGTAAATGTTATTTATTACTTATGATAAAGAGCTGGTAAGTTTCTTTCGCTTGTTCTTTTTGTAAACTAAAAGACGTCCTGAGCGAGTGAGAGTGGAAAAAAAAATTTTTGGACGATTTAAAAATGCTTTTATCAACCTTACTTGAATAAAGACATTTTCGTTAAATTTCGATGTTACAACGTCTATGACACCGACGTATCATTGAACGTTGTTCAAAAAATATCACATAAAATAAAAAAGGTTGAAAGGAATATAAAATAATTTCCCAACGATATTCCACTCGACTTAGCTCGTCGTTTTTTTTTTTGACGTGTAAAGTTTAATTATTGTCATGTCTTTAGTGACACTGAGTAATCCTCCTTAACCATCCATAAGGAAGGCCTGAGCCCCTGCAGTTGGGACGTAAAAGGGCTGGTGATTGGTGATTGAATACTCGCAAGATTAAGAAGAATCATTAAAATCAGTCAACGATAGAAATCATTCAACGCTACATAGAAACAAACATTCATAGACTGATAAACACATTACCCTTCTTTGCATTGCGCAGCTGAGTCTAAAGTGCTTTTGTAAAGTTTACAATTTGAAACATTTGAAGAAATTACTTATTTTTGTAACGCCGCCATTTTTAAAAAAGGAAGTGGCGATTTGTCTTTACAACTTACCAGTAGATCAGTTCTGCTAATGTTTACGTAATAACCGCACATAAAAAGTATCTCAACTATTTGCATTTTGCCTGTACTATTTATCTGAAGTCCAATATTATTCCATCATCATCAGGCTCGGTGACTCTCTACTCCGTGCTTCGGAAGGCACGTTAGGCGTTGGTCCCGGCTGCATTTGCAGTCGTTCATACTCTACAATCTGCATTGGGTCAGCGTGGAAGATCATGGCCCATCCTCCTTAACCATCTACAGAGAAAGGCTTGAGCCCCTGCAGTGAGGACTTAAAAGGATCTGATGACGATGAACTCCATAAGTGCGGGCAGTGTGGTTTTTTGAGGAGACTGATGACAAACTGTCAAATCGTGTATTTTTAGCCATCAGTCTGAATCTGCATGGAAAAATAATTTATCCGAGGAAACAAATTTAAACCTATATCATCAGATTTCTTCATCAGAAAACTAATATAATCCTGTCAAGTTTATTATTATATTAAGTGATCTCTAATTAAAGAATGACAATATGGTGAAGAAAAAATAAAAGTTATTTGCATGTTAATTAAATCGAATGAATTATGTATTTTCTTCTCTTACGTTATTTTAATTATGAAACGTAAAGTGACGCAAGCTTAATTAAATCATATTTTAACTTATTTGTATGAGATAAATCAGGAAGAAAAGGCCAGCGCTTGCTGAGTTGCTTAACTTCTTTCATAACTGCTTATTTTTCAAATGCATATTTCAAAAAAGCAGATATTTATTTAAATAGATTTTTAGATAACCATTGAAATAATTCTGCTATCAGCAAAAGATATCACGTAAATGCCGCTACACGTGGCATAACCTCTAAAATTATTTGATAAATTTTGCATTCACTGTTTAATAATATTATTGATAAATTAAGTTTATTATTAAACAACATCACATAAATTGCTCAGATTTCAAGATGAGCAAGATAAGCCTCCGTATTAAGGAGTAGGTATTATAGATAACGAAGATACCATAACATCTAGACCCAGACAATATAGAAAAAAATAGTTTCTACATTGACCCCACCGGAAATAAACCCGATCAGAAATGACGATACCTGGAAACCGCCGTGCGAGCCATTCGGCTATGGACGACTCATGTGCTTGCTTGACGTTTGCTTTATGAAATATAAATTTTCTTCATTCCGAGGCCTTACTCTGTTCCTCCACAAACGAAAATTCGGAAAATTCGTTTCGTTCTTATATTTTGTCCAGAGACAGTGTCAGATCCTACCTCCATCACATCATAAATTATAGACAAATGCGTTTCTTTGGATGAATCCAATTAGAGTTTTGAAAATTAACGATATTTCGTTTTCGGAGAAGCAGAGTTTTAGTATCTTAAAATAGCTTTTAAATCGATCAATATTTTTAACCTACCAACCATTTAAAAAGTAAATATAAGCAACAACATGTAAATATACATCTGATATAAACATTTTAATAACGCCTCTTTCATTTCGACGTTCTTACATTATTTATTTTGCTAACAGCTAAACATAAATAAAATTAGGATCATATGTAACAGATGGCTCTCATATGCTCTAATCAACCCTGTTATTTCGTGATGATGATTAATATTTATCGCTTAATTTGTTTGACCTTTTTACAAATACCTACTTTATTATAAAATGGGATTAGATGGACATGTTTTAATTGAGCTGTTTCCTAACATGCACAGGATTCAAAATTGATTATTGTTTATATTTTTTTGTATCTTTACTACCTGCTATGCCTACTTTCAAAGGTAATACACATCTTCACTGTGACAGCACTGCGCTCGACATCGAGTTTAAAGTTAATTATAAAATAGCACTCTTATCATGAACTCTTTATACGATGGAAAGACAATAGTTGAAAGAATCATACTTTAAAACATGTTTGAATTGTCAGCATAAAAGTCGACCGAGAAACAATTCTGTTACTATTTGAGTAATTCGGACACAAAGTTAAGTATTACTGAAACACAAAAAATTACAAACTTATATAACATAAGACTTTGTTCAACTAAATGAACAAATGAAAAGCTGACGTACGAAAAAGTTAAGACCACGGACTAGGACCTTTATGAACAAAAAAGATAATGGCAATTTGTCATTTTTTGAGTCAATTAGAGACAATGTTTATTAGATTGAGTAAACAGGTGAACGAAAAATTTACGTTTTCCAATTAACGTCTAACAAATTATGTCCTTAAATTGTATAAATAATGAAATCCACCTTGCCATTTTAGGCTAGGAGATAAATAATCGTACGTAATTAAATCGGTTAGTACAAGTAAACAAGCATTTAGTGAAAAAATGTGTGAATATTACGGAAGTCATACAGAAAAATATTTATGTATATCCAATATGTTTCGGAGTTGAAATAACTTCAAACGTAACAAGGACTTAGTTTCAGGAATTCAATTCTATTGAACCCATCAAAATATGCAAATGGCTTCCTTTCAGCGGCCAAAATGTTAAAATAAAACTGTCCGTTGATAGACGTTACATTCACGTTTGTTTGGACGCGCGAAAATTCGTACGGATTTTCTAAATGTTTACACAAACAGATACTGTTGGCGAGATAAAAGAGACGTTGTATTACTTACGTATACGTAATCCAGAAAGAAGTTTGTTAGCAAATCATAAACTAGAATCCAATCTATTTGTCTGCGGATTTTCTTTTTTTTTCGAATTGCGCGCGCATTCGACTTCGAGTGCGAACGGCGCGCCGCGGCGGTTTATCGGATCGGCGTTTCTCAATGAACTGACATAAAAGAGGCTTGTTGCTTTGTCGCACACTTGAAACTTCTATCTTTATTCTATCGAAGTTTATCTACTATTAATGTCTATTCAATTTTGTTTAATGGCTCATATAGAATCTGTGGTAGTAATTTTTCTTATTTATAGCATTATAAAATAGCTTCACGTGATTTTCGACGGTAAAAAAATTTAAAAACTTGATAATCTTGTAGGTAATCGTTAAACCTATAATATAGCAGTCATAACAATTACCACATTTAGCTTATCGATATTATTTGTGAATTATTATATCAATAGTAAACCTGACGACAAAAACGTATATCTAATATATAATATTCACGTGTCACAGTTTTAGTTATCATACTCCTCCGAAAAGATTAAACAACTCATTAAAATATTTTTGTCATCAGACGTTTGAACGAGTCTCAATAATTTCATTTCAATTTATTATTTTTTTCTAATCGACTCTCAAAAATTAATTTAAGAATATACGTAAGTACGGACATTTGGTAGTTCATCTACTAATTAAAAGAATTATTTTCAACACTAGGAGTAAAAGCCTAAATGATAAATAAGTACGTGGAAGGGTATTGAAGACAGGGAACGTTCCTACTATTACATGGAGAGTCGTGGGTTCGATTCCCACTGACAAACATTTTTGTGATTAACAATTATGTCTGTTCTGTGTCTGGGTGTTTTCTATTTATATTTGTATTGATATCCGTAACAAAAGTGCCTAAGCTACTTACCTCGGAATCGAATCAATGTGTGTGATGTTATCCGATATTTATTAATAGCGCATTTTCTGAGAGTTGTCAAAAGTCATAAAAAGTGACGAAAATACCTTATGTACCAAAATAAGTCAAAAAAACGAAAGACGCGTGTAAATACGACCTCAGTGGCTGAGTGACTCGCATGCTGATTACAAACGTCGCCATTGCTATGGTCCTGGGTTCGATTTCCGATCGGGTCACTGGAGAAAATGAACTTTTTTATATTGTTTCGAGTCTGGGTGTTGTGTTATCTTTGTTGTTTCAGATTTGCATAATACAAGTGCTTTAGCTACTTAATTTGGGATCTTCGCAATGTTGTAGGTGTGTGATGTTTTGTCTAATATTTATATTTATTTGTCATCAATAGTTTTTATGTCATTTAAATAGCTCGTTCGATAAGCACCGCGGCCCGCAATGGTCGTTGTTAACTTTCGCAAAGGTCGGTCACGGGACGGGTGACCAAAAAATTATTATCTCAAGCTATCCCGCTCTTTGGAAGGCAAGTTAAGCCATTGGTTCCAGATGCATTTGCAGTGTTGCCATTGCCTCCAATCCGGCCAGCGTGGAGGATCATGGCCCATTCTCCTTAACCATCCATAAGAAAGGCTTGACCCCTTGCAGTTGGGACGTTGAAAAGCTGACGATGATGATGTGTCATAATCATCACCAGCCTATTAATATCCTCACTGCTAAGGCACAAGGGTTCCCTATGCATGGAGCAGAATAGAATCGTTAGGGAGAATTAGCCATGACCAACCACGCGGGCCCATTGTATATTACTGGATGTTAACAATTGCAGACGTAGCAAGAACCAACGGCTTTACGAAACTTAAGAACCACTTCGCAATAATTTGTATTTTATGTTTATATTTAAAAACCGTGACTCAACTACTACGCTCTGCTTACCTCGCAGTTATCCTGGGTGGAAAATGTATATTGCACCTTCACATGTACACAATTGTATAAGTATGTAGGCCTTAACAGGCTCAAAATGAGTGTAAACACTCATTGTGTGAATATAAGCGTTTGCTGACAGCGAGACGCTAATGTAATATTAATGTGCACATTTAAAATTGATATTACGAGTAAGTTTATCATCACAGATACATTATTTTTGGAGCCTAGTATGTAATGGCGTTTAAATGCAATCAAAATGATTATACAATACTTGTCCTGGCGTATAAGTTAATATTATCGTAGTATTCCACACAGCATTAACCACTGATTTGACTGAAATTGATTTATTCAGTCAATCACTATTTTAACAAGGAGCTTAATGGCGAAGTTAAGCAATTTTCACAAGGACCGTGACAAAATGGGAACCAAAAATATAGTATGTCGAACTCCTCCGTGCTTCTGCAGGCCTGTTAAGCCGTTTGTCCAGACTGCAAATGCTATACCAGAATCCGTACACTATTGACGAAGATATAAAAAAAAAACAAAAATATTCCTGTTAAAATAATAAAATATCCTAACTTAAACGAACGAGAAATAATAATAAATCTTAAAAGATCTAGTATATTTTTTTAATATTGAGATAACCCGTATTAAAAGAGTAACTCAAATGGTAAACTATTATGTATTATCTTTGGCTTCACAATATTTGGATGAGAGCCAAACAGTAGTAGTAAAGCTGGAAAAATAATTGCTTTGACCACGGAAGAGATGAAATAACAGCCGCTATTCTCTAAGCCGCAACGTCATGTATTACTCAATCGAAATGCGATCAACTAGGTGCATAGCCTAATAGATCAACCCGTAATAAGGCGCCTTGTTGTTTTTCTATGTATTTGAAAATTTTATATCACGGTGTATTTTATTGATAAACTCCGTAACTACCAAACTGATAATATTAATGATTTATTTTATATTCATAAACATTTTGACTTTATCGATGTGCTTTTGACATCTACACTAGGCAATAAATTGTTTAAATTTTAGAATATAAGGACCCCACCCTCGACAGTGAAGCTCTAAAAATTATATTTAGCATCTTCTACGTAATGGAGAAATTTCTATAATCCTACGTATGAGTGAAATATAGAAATGGATGTGAATGAACGTGTTCATGAGTGTGTGTGATGTGTTTTATATTAATATCTTTAACGGAAAACAAAAAAAAATATATAAATTTGTTATTGTTGGTTCAAAGATCTTTTGTATTTTTTATTGTGGAAGCTAAACAAATCTTTTTCAGCATTGGCGAAATCTGTGGTTATAGACAATAGAACCTTAATAATGTTTGAACATTATTATTAATGAATTATGTTAAATAACTTCTTATTGAAATTTATTATGGTCCACTGATGAATTTCGACCACTGGGCGACCACTAGTCTGATTAATTTCACTTTGGGATTGTTTTGATGACAAATGGGGTCGCCTAATATTAGGTCCTTTCATACGAAATAGGCGTTTTATCGTACTGGCCATTTTAAACACAAATTTCTCCTCCTTGGTTGGGAATTCCAAATTTAAATTTATACAGCCATTTACACATGTATTTGTATTTCGTTAGGCGGCATTCATTTGTTTTTTTTTTCTTCTGTTTGTCCTATTTACGTCACCCTGTATAAAAAATGGAAATCTTGAAATATCGTGTTATTTACGAGGACGACTTCCACCGTGGTACCAGTGCTGCGGAACGGCTCGAAGGGTTAATGATGGGCAATGATTTGCCTTCAAAGATTTTATTGATTCCCGTTCGAATGGTTTTTTTAGTAAGGGGATCAATGAACTACCTATGAGATGGCAAAAGTGCATAGATAACAATGATATATACTAAATAAACATATAACATTAAAAAATATTCGACTCTTTGTTCCTCCCATACCAAACACCAAATCATATGTATGGACCTAATAGATATAAAACGATATTATCTTTCATGTTACTACTTTGATATGTCTTTTGGTTTGGTTTTAATTTACGTTTAAAATAGTAAATTGAAACAAAGAAACCTTTTGAAACAAAAAATAGCGCTTATATAACACTAGCTATTTTGAATACCTTTATATTGTAGATGCGCCGAATATTCGGTTTTAGTACCTAATATATTTATTGGGTTCGAGTATTCCTATTTTGTTGGCTACAGGACACGGTATTATAGTACTAAAATACAAAATTCCTTATGTAACATTCGTGTTATATTATAAGTCAAATTAATCTTATAAATAATGTATTCAATAAATAATGAAGTTAATAAACCAATTAAATTTAAAATCAAAAAAATTTAAACTATTTTACGCGGCAAATCAGTGAAATGGTATTCGGTTATCAGTGAAACGCATCTCTACTTTATATATATCTCTTGTGGTTGAAACCTCCACCGAGGATCGTAATTACACTATAATTAACCCATCCAGAACAATTTCCACATTTTAAGAGCTCGTAAAGTGGTCATTAGATGGCACATTTCTAGAACACGCAGCTACGAGTATACCTTTATTTTACCTAGATGAATAAAACAGCAGATTGTTGCCATAAAGCGTAATATGATATTAAGATTACTTAAATTCCATTAGATAGATGAAAGGATTCAGTGTTAATTTCTTTTTAATCTAGGTTTTAGGACTTTTATTGTGAGGATATTTTACTATCGTCCTATCGTACCCTAAACATACATTATCTACACCTCTAAAATTACTATATAGATATTAAGTATCTAATTACTATTCAAAAACAACGTTTGCCAACCTGTGATCCGTAAACCGCTTAGGATCCGCGAGCATGTGTGTGAGGAACCGTAGAATCTTTACTATGGCGAATGTGTACCCGAAATTAATTTGAAAACAGCAACTTGCCCATGGACTAAAAAAGGTTAGTAAACTCTTCTCTAAAGCCATTTATTGACAGTTGAAAAAAATAAAAATAAGGCGTTTCCGAATAAATTTGATAAAAAAAATTGCACCTACATACAACTTTAATTAAAAAAATATCTGGCCGTTTAGTAAATTATTTTTTATGTAATCAATAAATTGTGGCGACATATTGAGTTAAAATTTCGCTTGACGTCATGTTTTTTTACATTTTCTACAAAGCTGTGACGTAGCGAACCCCCACTGCACAACTGTTATCCAGCGGCGGCCTTAGCCATTGGCAGGTCTTTGTGAGGCCCTTTGTCCTTCGTGAAAAGTATGTGATACGATTCAATTCGAATACCGATCTTCAAGTGGTTCAAAGGGGTATTCAATTATGTTTAAAATGAATGATTTAGTTAACTAACTTT